TAGTAGTAGTAGTAGTAGTAGTAGTAGTAGTAGTAGTAGTAGTCGTAGTAGTAGTAGTAGCAGTAGTAGTAGTAGTAGTAGTAGTCGTAGTAGTAGTAGTAGTGATAGTAGTAGTAGTAGTAGGAGGAGGAGGAGGAGGGGGAGGAGGAGGAGGACGACGAGGAGGAGGAGCATCTGGACCAGTATAGGTTGGACGATGCTGAGGGGTAGGGGAAAATGGGGCGGGCTCGGCGCCGTCGTAGCCCCCGAAGAGGTACACGGAGCCCCTGTGGGAGGCCCAGGACGGGCAGCTCCTTGGGGCGGGGGCGCCGTGGCGCGGGCGGGGGCGGCAAGGCATCGCTGTTCTCGGCGGTGGGCAAACCTCCCTTTAATAAACGATCCCTTCAGTGAAGACGGCCTAGGACCGAAACCGACGGACCTGGACCCGCAAAATCACGGCTGCGACGCCGTCTCGCGAACCGAAAACGGCCAATTCAGTGTTGGGGTCAGGGCAGGAGGGTAGGAGGGGTATCAACCTCCGATGTTCTAGTAAGAGGTCTAAATTGACGTGCCCAAAACTTGACATGTTCGTCGAATCTACGGAGAATGCGTAGAATGTTGTCGAATCTACGAACATTCTACGCATCTGTTGCCGAACTAGCGAAACTTTCGATTCGGGGTGAATCAATCCCGCGGTCGTTCTCCCAGTCGAGCTGTGCGCCCAGCTCCCCCATCCCTTGGACGAGGCCGGCCGTGTGCCAGACCATCCGCGCGAGCTGGCCCGCGCAGACACGCGCCTCGACCTGGCCTGGTGCGCGCTGGTCGCCGTCCGAGGGCCCGCCCCGCGGGGCAGCTGTGGACGAGGACGAGGACGAGGACCAGGACCAGGACGAGGAGGAGGAGGAGGAGGAGAAGGAGGGAGGGGACGGGAGAGGCAGTACATGGGGGAGGGATTCGCGGATGGAGCTTCGAGTCTTGCTCCTTCTGCTCCCCCCTCTCCTTCTCCTCGCCCTCGTCCTTCTGTGCCCTCCCCCCCCTTGGCAGGAGGGCGGCGGTGCACCGCCACCGCTCCCCATGCCCATGCTGGCAGCTGGCCTCGGCGGACAAATGCCACCCCCTCCCCCGCCTCCCCCGCCTCCTCCTCCTCCTCCTCCTCCCCCTCCTCCTCCTCCTCCTTCCCCCAGCTCCTCCTCCTCCTCCTCCCCTCCGCCTCCCGACCGCCCCAGGGAGCCTCCTCCTCCTCCTCCTCCTCCTCCTCCTCCTCCTCCTCCTCCTCCTTCCTCCTCCTCCTCCCCCGTCCCTCCTCCTCCTCTCCTCGCTCCTCCCCCTCCCCTCCTCCTCCGCTCCTCCTCCTCCTCCTCCTCCTCCCCTCCTTCCTCCTCTCCTCCTCCTCCTCTCCTCTCCTCCTCCTCCTCCTCCTCCTCCTCCTCCTCCTCCTCCGTCCTCTTCGTCGTCCTCGCCCTCCTCCCACGTCAAAGAAACCCACCTCCATCACCCTCCTCCACATCCTCCCCTTTTTCCCCCCCCTTCCCACGTGCATCCTCCCCCGGCCCGCCGCCTCCGTGGCCACTGCCTCCCCCTCCCCCTTCTCCCCGGGCCATCGGACACGCTGCAGCCCTCGGGCCCACCCTCCCGCCCGCCCTCTCTGCCCGCCCCACCACGCGCAACGATCCCCTCCCCCCCGCCCCCCCCCCCCCCCCCGCGGGGAGGCCCTCCTCCTCTCCCGTGGGCCGTGGCGCGGGCTGCGGGAGGAGCGGGCGAGGGGCCGAGGGCCGCGACGGGCGGCAGGGGGAGCAGGAGCGGGCGCCGCGAGGGAGCCCCGGGCGCCACCGCCTCTGACCAGCCTCGAACGTATCCCTATCCCTGAGATTGACACGCCAAAAGGCGATGACAATCTTATGGATGCACCCTCAGAAACTGAGGGGATCCCTAAGATCGCCATTGTGACGAGGCGATGCCCGATAGGGATAGGTTCCAGGCTGGTAAGCCTCGGCTCCGCCTCCCCTCGTCGGAGGGGGCGCCTCTGGCTGTGCCGGCGTGGTGGCCGCAGAGTGGGCACGGGAGCCTCCAGGGATGCTCGCAGCAGCTCTGACGGGAGGGGGGAAGCGGAGGAGGACAGACGGCTGGGGGAGCGTCGGAGCCCCGCGGGGGCTCTCGGAGACCCCGGTGGCAGGCCGAGCCGCCAAGCCTGGGTGTCCTCGCGGAAGACGGAGCGGATGCGGGGCCATGCGCCTCGCAGTGCTCTGGCCTGGGGCCTCTGAGCCTGGGCAGGCGCCCGGCACACCAGCCCGCAGTCGACGAGACGAGCCATCCCGTTCGGGCCGTCGCTCGGACGTCCATTCCCCATGCATTGCTCGGCTTCTTGCGCGTAGTCGTCGCAGGGTGATCCAGGATGCTCCTCGACGGCCCTTGCCGAGAAACATAGCGCACACGCCCGCGCGGTGCCGAGCGTCAGAGAGCTGGCGGCCCGGTCGAAGATCCGGCCGCGTGGCTCGAGGCATGCAGCGTGCAGCAGTCCAGAGCTGAAGGGGCCCTGGGACACACAAATAGATACACACAAATAAAAAGATTCCCCGTAGTTCCCCCTATCTTCTGGGTTTCTGTCTTCCCCCCCACCTTCCCATATGTTCCCCTATTTCCTGGGGAGCCGACGATGAATTTGTGTCTGTGTGTCTCTTCCCCTCCTGAAGAGCAGGGCAGCCGGGCGCGCGGGTCTCCTGCCGGTGGGGATGAAGCCCTGCACCAGTCCAGCAGTCCAGAGCAGCAGGGCCTCCTCCTCCTCCTCCTCCTCCTCCTCCTCCTCCTCCTCCTCCTCCTCCCCCTCCTCCTCCATTCCTCCTCCTCCTCCTTCCTCCTCTCCTCCTCCTCCTCCCCCTCCTCCTCCTCCTCCTCCTCCTCCTCCTCCTCCTCCTCCTCCTCCTCCCCCTCCTCCTCGTGCAGCATGCAGCTGGTCTCCTGCCGTGGGGATGAAGCCCTGCACCTGGGTGGCGCTCCACTGGCCGCGCTCGTAGTCGAAGTCGAACATGTCGTTCAACCTGCTCCCCCCCGTCGACTCCTCCTCCTTCCTCCTCCCTCTCCTCCTCCTCCTCCTCCTCCTCCATCCTCCCTCCCTCCCTCCCTCCTCCTCTCCCACTCCCTCCCTCCCTCCTCCCTCCCCCTCCCTCCCTCTCCTCCTCCTCCTCCTCCTCCTCCTCCTCTCCTCCTCCTCCTCCTCCTCCTCCTCCTCCTCAGCTTGTCGCCCTCGCGCGGACGTCGACGTTCCCCGTGCAGAGCTCCGACCTGGTGCGTGTGCAGCTGCTCGCGAGATGCTCAAAGATGCCTCTCGATGTGTTGTTGATTACCTGCTTTGTTTTTCCCAACCATCCTGTGGTGTTGGGTCCTCGTTTTGAAGAGACGGTGCCCCGCGTTCCTCTCTTTCCTCCTCCCCCTCCTCCCCCTCCTTGCCTCTGCTCTCGGCACACCTCTCACGCGTTTCGTAGCCCCATAGGGAGCTCCACCGAAGGCCCCAGTGGGGGTGTTCGCATGCGGTTCCCCCACCCAGGGCAGCGTTTCGTGGCCCCATAGGGAGCTCCACCGAAGGCCCCAGTGGGGGTGTTCGCATGCGGTTCCCCCACCCAGGGCAGCGTTTCGTGGCCCCATAGGGAGCTCCACCGAAGGCCCCAGTGGGGGTGTTCGCATGCGGTTCCCCCACCCAGGGCAGCGTTTCGTAGCCCCATAGGGAGCTCCACCGAAGGCCCCAGTGGGGGTGTTCGCATGCGGTCCCCCACCCAGGGCAGCGTTTCGTAGCCCCATAGGGAGCTCCACCGAAGGCCCCAGTTGCATGTGTTCGCACCCACCCCCACCCAGGGCAGCGTTTCGTAGCCCCATAGGGAGCTCCACCGAAGGCCCCAGTGGGGGTGTTCGCATGCGGTTCCCCCACCCAGGGCAGCGTTTCGTGGCCCCATAGGGAGCTCCACCGAAGGCCCCAGTGGGGGTGTTCGCATGCGGTTCCCCCACCCAGGGCAGCGTTTCGTAGCCCCATAGGGAGCTCCACCGAAGGCCCCAGTGGGGGTGTTCGCATGCGGTTCCCCCACCCAGGGCAGCGTTTCGTGGCCCCATAGGGAGCTCCACCGAAGGCCCCAGTGGGGGTGTTCGCATGCGGTTCCCCCACCCAGGGCAGCGTTTCGTGGCCCCATAGGGAGCTCCACCGAAGGCCCCAGTGGGGGTGTTCGCATGCGGTTTCCCCACCCAGGGCAGCGTTTCGTGGCCCCATAGGGAGCTCCACCGAAGGCCCCAGTGGGGGTGTTCGCATGCGGTTCCCCCACCCAGGCAGCGTTTCGTGGCCCCATAGGGAGCTCCACCGAAGGCCCCAGTGGGGGTGTTCCGCATGCGGTTCCCCCACCCAGGGCAGCGTTTCGTGGCCCCATAGGGAGCTCCACCGAAGGCCCCAGTGGGGGTGTTCGCATGCGGTTCCCCCACCCAGGGCAGCGTTTCGTGGCCCCATAGGGAGCTCCACCGAAGGCCCCAGTGGGGGTGTTCGCATGCGGTTCCCCCACCCAGGGCAGCGTTTCGTGGCCCCATAGGGAGCTCCACCGAAGGCCCCAGTGGGGGTGTTCGCATGCGGTTCCCCCACCCAGGGCAGCGTTTCGTAGCCCCATAGGGAGCTCCACCGAAGGCCCCAGTGGGGGTGTTCGCATGCGGTTCCCCCACCCAGGGCAGCGTTTCGTGGCCCCATAGGGAGCTCCACCGAAGGCCCCAGTGGGGGTGTTCGCATGCGGTTCCCCCACCCAGGGCAGCGTTTCGTAGCCCCATAGGGAGCTCCACCGAAGGCCCCAGTGGGGGTGTTCGCATGCGGTTCCCCCACCCAGGGCAGCGTTTCGTGGCCCCATAGGGAGCTCCACCGAAGGCCCCAGTGGGGGTGTTCGCATGCGGTTCCCCCACCCAGGGCAGCGTTTCGTAGCCCCATAGGGAGCTCCACCGAAGGCCCCAGTGGGGGTGTTCGCATGCGGTTCCCCCACCCAGGGCAGCGTTTCGTGGCCCCATAGGGAGCTCCACCGGAGGCCCCAGTGGCTGTTCGCATGCGGTTCCCCCACCCAGGGCAGCGCTTCGTGGCCCCATGGGGAGCTCCACCGAAAGCCCCCGTGGCGCAGTTCGCATGCGCTTCCCCCACCCAGGGCAGCGTTTCGTGGCACCATAGGGAGCTCCACCGAAGGCCCCAGTGGCGCAGTTCGCATGCGGTTCCCCCACCCAGGGCAGCGTTTCGTAGCCCCATAGGGAGCTCCACCGAAGGCCCGCCCCGGTGGCGCAGTCCGCATGCGGTTCCCCCATCCAAGGCAGCGCTTCGTGGCCCCATATGGAGCCCCACCGAAAGCGGCACCCACAACGCGTTACCAACAATTGCTTATGGTTGGGTCTTTCGCCAGGATAATTTATATGTGTGTGTCTCAAAGATAGTCCATGGCGTGCCTTGTCCTGTGCAAGATCTTCGGCACCGCCTGTACTCTGAGCCCTCCGGCCGCCTGAGGCCCCGCCCGCCCGCGCCCTGTCTCCCCAATTAGGGCTACCCGCGCCCCGTTTAGCCCTTGACCGCAAGGGGCCCGCTCCCGACCCGCAGACCAAAAAAAGTTTTGTTTTTTATGTGTGTGTCTCAGAGATGCTGCTCGATAGCTCTCGCCGAGAACAAAACGTACGCGTCCGAGCGAGGCCAAGCATGGGGGGGCCAGCCACCGGGAGCACCCCGCGGGGCCCGCGCGGAGCCGCGGCCGGCCAGCGGCTGCAGCACGGGAGGCGCTCCCGTCCCGGAGGCCACGCCTCCCCGCCGAGCCCCTCGATCAGGAGTGCCGCTGCCTCCTCCTCCTCCTCCTCCTCCTCCTCCTCCTCCTCCGCCTCCCCCTCCTCCTCCGCCTCCCGCTCCTCCGCCTCCCCCTCCTCCGCCTCCTCCTCCGCCTCCTCCGCCCCCTCCTCCGCCTCCTCCTCCTCCTCCTCCTCCTTCTCCTCCTCCCCCTCCCTGCCCTCGCCGAGGCGACCCAGAGGGGTGGCCGCCGCCGAGGCAAACCGCGCTCTTCACGGAGGGTCCGAAAGGATCATTCCGCCCTCTCTCGCTCTCGCTCTCTCTCCCTTGGAGCCCCACGGCCAGCGGAGCTGCCCCCGCGCGCTGCCGCGGCATGTGCACGGCCGGCCGCCTGCCTGTGTTCTTGGGTCTGCCCTCCGAGCAGCAGCGATGAAGCCCGAGCCCGCTTCTGACTCCAAACCAAACATCGGGGATGGACAGACCTCCCTTTAGTAAAACGTGGGTTAGTGAAAACGACCTCGGGCCCAAACCTGGCGGGCGCAAGCCTGGAAAATGACGGCCGCGGTGCCCTCTCGAGAACCGAAAACGGACAATTCACTAATCGACGTGTCAGGGTAGGAGGTCTGTCCACTCCCGAAACAACTATCCTGGCGAAGGGCCCAACCATGTGCCGTTGTGAATCTCGCCGGTGTGGGCTTCGCCTTCGGTGGATCTCTTTATGATGTGTAGCCACGGAGCGTGTCAAGGGCGTGCCGAAATGGGGCGGGGATGCATGCTGGCGCAGCCACAGGGGCCTTCGATGGCGATCCATATGGGCCACGAAACGTGTGAGGGGTGTGCCGAAATGGACTTGGCCGCCGTGCGAATGTCGCCAGTGGGGCCTTCGGAGGATCTCCCTATGGGGCCACCAAACGCTGTACTGAGTGGGAGAGAAGCATGCGACCGCCGCCACTGGGGCCTTCAGTGGGGCCCCTTATGCAGCCACGGAGTGCTGTACTGGGTGGGGGGGCGCATGCGAACACCGCCACTGGGGCCTTCGGTGGAGCTGGGGGAGCGCATGCGAACACCGCCTCTCGGACCTTCGGTGGAGCTATCCCTGTGCGGCCACGAAACGCTGTACTTGGTGAGGGAGATGCATACGATCACCGTTGCTGGGCCTTCGGTGGAGCTCCCTATGGGACCACGAACCGCTGTGCTGGGTGGGGGGGAAAGCGCATGCGGACACCGCCTCCGAGGGAGCTCCCTGTGGGGCCACGAAACGCTGTCTTGCGTGGGGGAACACGCGTGCGGACACCGCCACTGGGGCCCATGGGACCACGAGGCGCTGTACTGGGTGGGCGTGGCGCATGCGAACACCGCCACTGGCACCCTCGGCGGAGCTCTCCATGGGGGCCACGGAACGTCATCACGCGCAGGGGAAAGCCATGCGGACACCGCCGCCGGGGCCTTCGGTGGGAGCTCGCCACCGGGGCCTGCGGCGGGCACCCCGCGTGGGGCCACGACGCGCTGCACTGGGCGGGGGGAAGCGCCTGCCAACCGTGCCACGGGGGCCCTCGGTGGACCTCCTTGTGGGGCCACGAAGCGCGCGACGCGAGGGGTGTGCCAACGTGGAGGGGGGGCGGCACGCGAACGCAGCCACTGGGGCCTTCGGTGGAGCCCCTCTGGGGGCACGAAAGGTGCGAGGGTGGTGCCAAAGTGGAAGTGGGGCGGCACGCGAACGCAGCCACTGGGGCCTTCGGTGGAGCCCCTCTGGGGGCATAAAAGGTGCGAGGGTGGTGCCAAAGTGGAAGTGGGGCGGCATGCGAACGCAGCCACTGAGGCCTTCGGTGGAGCCCCCTCTGGGGCCACGAAAGGTGCGAGGGTTGTGCCAACGCGAAGGGGGGCGGCATGCGAACGCAGCCATCTGGGGCCTTCGGAGGGGCTCCCTATGGGGCCACGAAAGGTGCGAGGGGTGTGCCAACGTGAGGTGGGGCGGCATGCGAACGCAGCTAATGGGGCCTTCGGAAGAGCCCCCCTTGGGGCCACGACACGTGTGAGGGATGTGCCGAAGTGGAGGGCTGACGGCATGTGAACGCAGGCACTGAACGTGTGAGGGGTGTGCAAAAGTGGAGGGGTGGCGGCATGTGAACGCAGCCAGTGGCGCCATCGCTGGAGCTCCCTATGGGGCCATGAAGCGTGTGAGGGGTGTGCCTGAATGAGGAAGGTGACGGGAGGAGGGAATAGTGGGAGGAGGCGGACAGGAACTATCTCTTCAAAACGAAGACC